CCCGCATGAGCCCTTGATAGTTTATAAATGGGTATTTTGTCATATCTTGCCCTGTCCGACGCAGAGACCAGTTTTTATTCTTATATCTATTTGACTCCAAAGCCCCATGTTCTTTCCACTGCTTAGGGAAAAACTAACAGAGGCCCATGAAGAACTACAGAAGAAACAAGAGCTCATTGAAGATCTTCAGCCAGATGTAAACCAAAATGGTAGGTTATTTATAAAAGACTATTTAGTTGAAGAATGTAAAAACTCTGTCTCTTTGGATAATGCATAGGTAGATACATTGAAAATACTATGGTAATTTTTAAAATGTAATTTGATAAAACTAAGTGATATAAAGGAGTATCAAACATTATAAAATAATAGAATTAATATGAGACTTTAATAAAATACTGATTTTAAATTATATAACAATGAACTTCAAAGTGGTATGTAGAAATGCTTGATTTGCCCTTACTTTTTATACCAATATTGTAAGGTATACTTAGTCATTTAATTACTTTATTAAAAGGTGAAAAAAAGCTTGATAAGACAGATTATAGACATTTTTGTGAGAAACAATAAGAAACAAAAGTATGCTGATAGTAGCTTAACAGTTTTAGATGAAAGTTTATGGCAAAGAAGGTATGGGAAATTTATTTTTTAAGTTACTTTGTCAGTCATTAGAAAAATTAATATAATATAAATTTTTGTGTGAGGATGAAATATTTTTTAAATTTTTGCATGTTTATTAATAGTACAAAAGATCAAGGAACTTGAAGCTGCTCTTCAGAAGAAAGATGAAGATATGAAAGCAATGGAGGAAAGATATAAAATGTACTTAGAAAAGGCGAGAAATGTGAGTCCTTTCACTTTCAGAACTTCAATCTCTGTGACTCGTGTTCTAATGAAGCCCGTTGCACTGACTGCCTTGCGGTTCATGCATTAGTGGAGGATTCTGCTGCTGGCCTCTCAGATTCCCAGTGTGTCCACCTAAGCCCTCGGTCCCTGGTCTCACATGTTAGTATCAGAGAAAATGGAATGTGACTGGCGCATTGAGACAGTATGCACGTTGACTATCATGACGTCAGTAGTGAAAAAAATCACTATAATCGTGTATGGAATCTTTAACCATTACGATGAACAATGTGGCCCTTGATGAAAAGTTCATTTAAGTTGGTTTATATTTAGTACAGGTTAGATAGCTAAACACTAATTTTTTTAATGTTTAAAAAAAAAATCATTTTATTGGGGGCTTGTACAACTCTCATCACAGTCCACACATCCATCCATTGTGTCAACTACATTCGTACATATGTTGCCATTATTATTCTCAAAACATTCGCCTTCTTCTTGAGCCCTTGGTATCAGCTCCTCATTTTTCCCCTCACTCCCTGCTCCCCTCTCCCCCATGAACCCTTGACAATCTATAAATTATTATTATTTGGTCCTATCTTACACTGTCTGATGTCTCCCTTCACCCACTTCTCCGCTGTCCATCCCCCAGGGAGGAGGTTATATTTTGACCTTGTCATCTGTTCCCCCTTTCTCCCTCATCTTCCCTGCACCCTCCCAGTGTCGCCACACTTACCACTGGTCCTGAAGGACTCATCTGTTCTGGATTCCCTGTGTTTCCAGTTCCTATCTGTGCCAGTGTACATCCTCTGGTCCAGCCGGATTTGTAAGGTAGAATTGGGATCATGATAGTGGGGAGAGGGAAGCATTCAAGAACTAGAGGAAAATTGTATATTTCATCATTGCTACACTGTACCCTGATTGACTTGTCTCCTCCCCACAGCCCTTCTGCAAGGGGATGTCCAATTTCCCACAGATAGGCCTCTGGTCCCCACTCCACACACCCCCTCATTCACAATGCTATGATTTTTTTTTTTTTTTTGTCTTTGATACCTGATACTTGATCCCTTCCATGTCTTGTGATCTCACAGGCGGGTGTACTTCTTCCATGTGGGCTTTGTTGTTTCTCAGTTAGATGGCCCCTTGTTTATCTTCCAGCCTATAGGACCACAGTTTCTATATCTTTTAACAGCTGGGCACCATCAGCTTTCTTCACCGCATTTGCTTATTCACCCGCTTTGTCTTCAGCGATCCTGTCGGGGTAGACTGGTGTGCTTCTTCCATTAATGTTCACTAGGTTAAACCTTTTGATTTTTTTCTCATTTAATACTTTTTATTTCAAATGTTTGTATGTACTCTTCACATAAAGTCTTTCATTTCCATTAATTTTTATATATCTTCTCCTGATTTCATGTTGAGTTTTCTCAGAGGAGGTTTCTTTATCTTGAGTAAACAAAGCTTATTTCAAGGTTTTACAAGGTTGACTATGTATTTCACCCTTCTATTTATGTTACACATATATTTATCGATTACAGTGTAAACAGTACTAACAGCAATGGATAAACTTCAGTCTCTCAAGGCTTAGCAAGATAGAAACTTACTACTAAGTAGCCCTAATGGAGTAATGAACTCTGTACTGAGCTGATAACAGCAGGTTGAACCCATCAGCCACTCCAAAGGAGAGAAATTATATTCTCTGCTCCTGTAACAATGTATCGTCTCAGAGTGGGTGCAGGACTATCCTCCCTTTGTAAGGTCACTAATGAATCAGAATCGATTCGGTGACAGTAGGTTTGGGGTTTTCCTTGGGGTTTGGTTTCTTTGGTTTCCCTAATCACAGGAAGTGTGATCATGGGTGAGAAGGAATTTCTGTACTATTCACTCATTCAGAGTTAAAAGTTGACAACACTCTGCCTTCTTCATCATATGATTTCCATGTACTGATGCCCCTCTATTTGGTGAGGCAAGACAGCATAGATTGCATGGGAGGTATGTGATGATCCAGCCCCTAAACCTATTGTGAGTCATTCTTATTTCAGTAGGTAAAACTCAGGCATTGCTGCACCCAGTTGCAAGAAGGCAGCTACCCTTATTTGCTGTGTTTCTAGAACAGGATAGGGTTGGCAAACATCCAGTTAGTCTTTATTACAGTTCAGTTTATCCCAGCTAAAAATATATAAATGGATATAGTAGAAAGTGTAAATTACAGAGAACCAACCCTTGCTCGCTGTAAAATCCACGAACGTTGCAGAAGAGGATTCTGGTTGAGGTTTGTCTGCTGTAAAACGCTGACAGAGTTGCCTTGCCTTCTCCCGGATGACTATCGAATCCAACGGAATGTTTTTCTTGCGCCTGTCATTGATCCAAACGGCTAGGACAGACTCCGTTTTTACTATGAACGTATTACGACTTGTCACGATGCACTTTGCTTCCTTGTTGAAAGTGAAATTAGCCGTAGCACGGATGTGTTTTTCCTCTTTACGGATAGAGCGAACAGAAGACTCATTCAAGTCGAAATGGCGTTCAACCTCCACGATTTTCTTGCCATCTTTGATCATATCCAAAAGTTTTACCTTTTCCTGGATGGTGAGCATCTTCCTCTGGCGCTTATTTTTATTGTCAGAAGGCTTAGAAGAAGCAGCTCGTTTAGGAGCCATCATAGGGCTTAGATAAAATTTCTTAAAAATCACAAACAATTACAGTACACTGTACAAAAGCAAAAATGCATCTGATACGTAGCTCCGATATGTAGCGATGCAGACAGAAGCGTGTACAGTATGAGCCGATCAGTGGCAGTAATGACAGAGCATGCGCTGTTATGCAAAAACCGCGATAGAGTGAAGCCGCGGAAGTCGAAGCGCCAAGTGGCAAGGGTTCACTGTATTTCTAAATGGCATCCTAAAGTAGTATAATTAACAAAGTAATGACAATACCATATTTTTGTCACAATGAATATTGCCATTAAAAACAAGTAAAAATAAATAATTAAACAAGCAAAAGCTAAACAAAACAAAGCAGTTGCCTGCTTTGGTAAGCTTGTCTTCTTTTTACAAAACCCTGAATGTTATTTGTGGGGTAAAAGGAGGAAACACATGACAGAAATGTGTATTCATGGTAAAAAACTCAGAATAGAAGAAGTCATAACCATACTGTCATCACTTAGAAATTTAAATAAAAGGTTATTCTAGCATGGTTGATATTCTTTAAAATGTCCCCCTTTTATCGTGTGAGCCCTGAGATGGCTAGCACCTTGTCTCTCATTAGTTGCTGTATTTCCGTTGTGCTTTATTTTGGTTGTAATAGCATATGTAAAAACCCCAAACAAGTCCACTACCATCAAGTCCTTTCTGACTCATCACAGCCCTTTGTAGGGTTTCTGAAGCCGGAAGTCTTTAGGTAGCAGGTAGCCTCTTTTTCCCTCAGGTGCTATAGGTGGGTTTGAACCCCGATCCTTGAAGTTAATAACAATGCTTTGCAGACAATGCCACCAGGGCTCCTTAACAGCCACATACATCCACTGAGTAAATTGTTTTTAAATGCATAAATGAATAACAGTACGATTTAGTAATATTTAAAGAATATGTCTTTCAGATTTTCCTTGTATAAATATAGTTAACATTTTTATAACTCATTAAATTATTTTAGTAGATATATTATTATATGGATATCCTTATTTTGACGTATTCTGTAGTTTATGCCTGTAAGTTGTAAATCACATTTTCAGATTTGTCTCCTAACAGACTGTTCACTTCATAATTAAGTTCAGTTTCTTAACTATATTCTGATAAAACATCTCTTTTACCCATCTTTTAGTGTTTTATTTAAATGATGGGAATGAGCACCCTAGGTCTGAAGACAAATTTCTAAACCACTGACATCTATCATCTATTATATCGTTTTCAGCATCTATTATGTTGATCTGACCTTCTGAATTACATTTAATGACATAGTTCTATATGAGCTAGATTGTTCATTTTACTTTTTTGTGTTAATTTTATTTTGTAAAATCAGCAAGTCCCCTTATCGTTATTAAATTCATTTTTAAAAAATGTATTTTCTTCAGGTAAATGCCAATGAACTATTTCTAGATATCATTGCTCAAAATTTGAAAAGGCTTATAAAGCTATTTCCTATTACTGAGGTGTGGGGAACACTTGATTTTGAGATAAATATTTTCTATTTTTGTACTGAAGTTTTGTTTTTCATTTATCTTCTTCTTTAGAACTTATATTAGATGATGAAACAGACTTGGTTGGCTCTTGGATCACTTTCTAGGGGATTTTCCATTTATCTTACATGGGCTTTATAGAATTTATATTTTAAAATGCAGTAAGATAAAATGAACACACAATATCTTGTTTTTTTCTTTTAACAGGTAATAAAGACTTTAGATCCCAAATTAAATCCAGCATCAGCTGAAATAATGCTACTTAGAAAACAGTTGGCAGAAAAAGAGAGAAGAATTGAGATTCTGGAGGTAAAATTTCCATATTCATTCATCTCCTAATTATTCTGTGAATATCTGGTAATTAAATGCTGTCATATATTTGGCATTAATTATCAAGTGTCACAAGAAATTAGAAATAGGTTTTAGCACCTGGCATGTTTATTAAAAAATACCTCACTAGATCATAATATTAGTCTTTATGCAGTTTATGTACCTGTTTATATGCTGCCTGTATCGTTCTCCTTCTATAAGGGCCCTGAATTTCTAGCAGAGTCCTGCTCCAATGCTACTTCAAAATTCTACTGATGGGATTTTCATTCAGAACTTTAAAAAAGAAACTGATCTCATCTTTTAAAGCGTGCTGTGCTTAAACTCGGTTAAACAGCTCTATCTTCTTTTATCTGACCTAATCTCAAACAAGTTTATCAGTTGGAATTGCGATAAAGGAAGTATTTATAAGCTCCCAGTAAGCCATTGAGCTAACTGGGAAATTTTTATTATTAATTTTGCTATGAATGGCATGCGTTCATTTAACTTTTTGCGCTGGTAGTTACATTGGTAGGTTAAGTATTTCAATATGGCCCTGTATAATTTTTATACTTTTTAAATGAGAATACTCTAGCTTCATTGTAAAATGTTTCACAAAAGTACTATTTTGCATATTGTGCTTTTCATATTTTAAAAATAGTGTAAATTTCTTAATAATAATATATAGGATTGCAGAGCCATGTTGAATTCTGCATACTGACAATGAAATTCTTATAATTGATAGTTGGCTTATTTTTACATTATCTGAAAATGCTATATTTCAGAGAAATATGAGGGGGTCCTCCCCAAAAAAACAGAATTGAGCTGAGCAGAGCGGAGCTTTCCTAGTATGCATTTTTTGCGCTAGGTGAGCATCTCGCATCTCGCTCTGAGTTTGTATACCCAGTGGTGTTGCCTAGGAAGGTTCTCTCTGGTCACAGTGAATTTTTTTTATAAAAGCAGTTTTGCTCAAACCTCATTTTTTTGATGGCTGATTTAAGAGAACAGGGTGCGGCCGTGAAATTTTTTTTCCTGCTTGGAAAAAATGCCACAGAAGCTGTTGTGATGTTGAACACAACTTACAAGGACAGAGCTATGGGAAAGCTTAAGTGTACGAGTGGTTTCCTCACTTCAAAACAGGGAGATGTTGATTGATGACAAACCCTGTTCTGGATGTCTGTCAACCTCCCGAACAGATGAAAATGTTAAATCATTGTGCATTTGGAGTTTGTTCCACCAGGTCAGACTGTTAATCAAGCTTTCTGTTTAGAGGTTTTCTGTAAAGATTGCATAATTGTGTGGTGAAAAAGGCCTGATTTGTGGCAGACACAGCCATCTCAGTGCGCCAGCTTTTTGGCAAAAAGCGGCATGCCTCTCTTGGCACATGCACCTTACTCACCTAACCTCATTCCGTGAGTCTTTTTGTTTCCGTGACTGGAGAGGGACATGAAAGGACAGAAATTTGATGACATAGAAGAGATGAAGAAAAAACGAGGGAGTTGCTGTCAGCCATCCAAACAGATGATTTGAAAAATGTCCCCAAGAATGAAATTGCACATTTGACTAATGTTTTAAGTGTAATTGAGAGTACTTTGAAGGTGATAAGCTTGTTTTGTTAAATAATTTAAATACATAGCTTCCAGTGTTTTGGGGGTACTCCCTCTTACATGCTATTATTTTACTGTTAATTATATGTATAAATATAACATTTGTTTCCTATATATGTATGTATGTATATTTAAAATCTGAGCCATAGCTAGTCTGTGGTAAAAATATTTTGGTTTAAAAACTTTAACACCCTCCCTTCCCTGAGTATATACCAACTTGATAAACACTTTCTATCAAAATGTGTGCTTGTCCAAGCTAAGCGTTACCTTATAAAACACATATTATATGGGCGGCTCTCTGAAGACATTCAATTAGTTCTTCAAGACCTAACTCAAACATCACTTCTCAAATCTTTCCTTGCATTCCTAAAAGGCAAAGTCTGTTCTCTCTCCGTATGACTTCATGCACTTTGAACTCATTCATTCAGCCCATAGCAGACAGCATTGGACTTGTTGGCATTTGCTGGGAGTATCTTGACAGCAGAGGTCTGTCTTTGTATACCAGCATTAAAAAAGACATAAATCAGGAGGCCTGGTTTACAGCGTTGTTGGTAACCCTTTCACTTCTCTCTTCACTTCATCTGTAAAACATTGAGTTGGAGTGGATATTTCTGAAATCTAAATCTTTCAGGTTATTTCCATCCCAAAGAAATCCAGAATGAAAATACACTCTTTTTGATATTTAAAATGGAAAAAGGACAAGAAAATGGTGCATCTAACTTTTAACAGAGAGGGGAAACCCTCTGTTCCAAGACTTAGCATGTAAGCATGTATCTTAGCCTACACACCTACACTGCACAAGGAAAAAGGAGAAAAATAATGTCAGTAGCAGAGGGCATGTTGTCTGCCTCCTTCTTTGGGAGTTTGGGAGTCGGTCTGGTGCTGTGTGAGCTGGGAGAAAGGCTCTCGTTCCCTCACTGTTCTTGAGTCCCTGCATGAGGCTTTTCATGTCAGGAGCATCTTTGTCTTGCCTGAAAGAAGATTCCAGTTTCAAGCTAGAATATTTTTAATATAAACCTACAGTAATCTAATGATTGACCAAATTTAAAAATAGTTATAGTAGTGTAATTTGAAGGTGGATGTCAGACTCTTAAGGTAGCAGATAAATAAGGCCACAAGAAACTTGGTATTACAGGTCACTGTGACTTGAGGGACAACAATTTGTGCCAAGTGTTAGAGGCAGAAAGTGTTTAAAGGATTTGCTTGGTTATTTTCTTCAAAGTCTTTCCTCGACCATAGAAGCAGCCCCACGGGGTCCTACCTAGCTAGGTCCTTGTTGTCTGGAGTAGAGGTCTGCACAGTGCAGCCCGGCAGCCACATGGCTCTCTCCGTTTGTGCCTGTGGCTCTCAAGTAAAACCGTAAAGGACAGTACTCAGAAAATGGTGATTTCATTGGTAAAGATGTATGTATGCTCTTGAGTCGTTTTAAATTGTTGTGAGGGACAGGACTGTGTCTTCTGTCTAAAGTTTGCTGGCGCCTCTTCTGTGCATAAGGGGCTGTGGCATAAGAATGATGTAGTTTGGTTTTGCTTTCGCTTTTGTTTTTCTACTGGCTTTGTTCTACCAGACACAGAGCCTATTCTTTCTTAAAGGTCTTGTTGCATTTCTTTATGATCCAATAAACGTTTTGACTATTTTTCGGTCTCAAATTTATCCTTCAGATGCTGTCAATAATGAGTATAATGAAGAAATTATTTAGTTTGTAATAGTTTTAGATGGTTCCTGTGATTTTTTTTTTTAACAGTCTTAATCATCTTTTTGTAGAGCGAATGTAAGGTAGCAAAATTCCGTGATTATGAAGAAAAGCTCATTGTCTCTGCCTGGTATAATAAGGTGAGTTGAATTTCCACTAGCGATTAGAGGGGGCCAAACAACGAAACATTGGTTGAGGGAGACAGCAGACTGTGTAATATATGAAAATGATTATAATTTTTAATTTGTCAAGGGTTCATGAGTATGGGAGGGGAAAAAAAGGCACTGATACCAAGGGCTCAAGTAAAAAGAAAATGTCTCAAAAATGGTGATGGCAACATATGAACAGATATTGGTGTATGGATTGTTAGAAGAGCTATAGGGGCCCCCAAGAAAATGATTTATAAAAAAAAAATTGAAAAAAATAGATTCTTTTCAAGACCCCCCAAAAAATCACCTAGACAGTCTAATCTTTTATATTGTTAGTGTATCTTGCCATAGCTTGTAGAGTGGTGACCTAAATACAAAAAATTACCTTTGATGTAATGAATTCAAGTTTAGAGGAATAAAATTGAGAAAACAGGTGCATTGCTTTCTACTTGTTAGCAGTACTATATACAGATTAATTAGCTTCTTTGACCTTATTTTTCCTATAAAAATGTGGACCCCCTGCTTGTACTGTTGTTTTGAAGATTCAGTGACTTTTTGGTAAGACCAAAAGTATTGCTCCTAGGGCCCCAGGTCGTATGTGCTTGGAGTCTTCCAAGCAAGATGGGTTTAATCAATGAGTGGTGCAGACGAGTGCTCTCAGTAATTCACTTGCCTTTGTCTCTGTATGATTGTCCTGAGTTGCCACTGAGTCGGTTCTCACTCCTAGGGCCCCTGTAGTACAATAGAAGGAAACACCCCAGCCCTGTGCCATTCTCACAGTGTTCTCAAGCCTGAGCTCATGATTGTAGTCACTGCATCGGTCCATCAGCCTGCCTCTTTTTAGCTGCCCCTCAGCTTGACCAAGCAAGATTTCTTTCTTGAGGGGCTGGTCTCTCCTGAAAACAAGTCCAAAGTTAGTGAGATGAAGTCTCTCCATCCTTTCCTCTAAAGGCCATTCTGGCTATACCTCTTCCAAGACAGATGTGCTTACTATTTTGGCAGCACATGGCACTTTAAATATTATTCAACAGCACCATAATGTATGTACCATGCATCAATAATTCTTCTGTCTTCCTTATTGAAGGTCCAACTTTTATATGCATGTGAGGCAATTGTAAATACCATGTCTTGGGTCTTCTAACACCTTAGTCCTCAAGGTAACTTCCTTGCTTTTCAACAATTTAAAAGAGGTTGGGCAGCAGATTAGCCCAATGTTATACATTGTTTGATCAGTGTCTTAAGCAAGATCAGAACTAAGGAAGGCAATTTTATGGAATACGTCATAACTGGGAATGAGTCGTGGATTTTCTAATATGAGGCAGAGAACAGATCCATGAAAACAATAGCTTCCAAGGAGGTCTGGGGCAGTTGAATTCCAGGCATAGAGGTCAGTTCAGAAGCTTATAGTGAGTTGGGGTTTTGTTGGTACCCTAGAGATGATGATTTTGATAAATGTTCCTGAAGGACACAGTAAAATTATGGGGACTTTAAGTGTTAAAGATAATAGAAAAAGACTGGGACAGTGCACTGAGGAATTGTTTTCTATCACAACAATGCACCTGCACATATCCCCAGGATATCAAGGACTTCCCTGGGAGTATTTCATCAGAGGCAGCCCCGACTGTCCCCTGAAGACTTGTGTTCCCAAACTTAACCTCTAAAAGACACAATTTGATTGAGTCAAGAATGCCCAATTTGTCATTTTGACATGATGTTAATCAAAGGAACTCAGAATCCAGAACTGCACAGACCTCAATTGGTGGGGGTGGGGGTGGGGAGGTGTTTGTGGAGAAAGTAGCTTCACATTTGGGTATTTTTATTGAATAAAGGTTTTTATGATTTTTGCAGCAATACTTTCTGACTTATCCTTATATGTAAAAAACATTGTGCAAAGTCTTAAAGGCTATATGACTGCTTCATTGTGTTACTTATTTTTTTAATCATTCCAGAGTCTCGCATTCCAGAAACTGGGGATGGAATCTAGGCTTATGAGCGGCAGCAGCAGCGGTGCTTGCAGAGACTCTGCTGCTGGTGCTCCCGCACGGTCTTTCTTAGCTCAGCAAAGGTGCATCACCGCCACCAGACGCCATCTCTCTGTGAGAGTTCCTGCTGCAACAACTGATTAAACGGCAAAGGAGAGCTTCAACAGGAGTGCCCTTAAAATCACTTACCCCTTTCAAGTAACCGCCACATTAAGAAGAAAATGTGTAATGAATGCTCACGGCTACTTTAAAATCAAAATTCATGAAATGAATCTTGCCAGCTGACTTGGCAAACAAAGTATAGACTGAGCTATCTCTCACTTGAGTAATTGGAAGATGTAACGTAGGCATACATCTTAAGCATATTTGTCTTTGAAGAGTTTTGCACTTTGAAATTGATTTTGTATATTTTAGTGTAATGTCTTCACTTACTCTAATCATGTGGTTAATTTGCTATATAGAATCGAGAATATTTAAAGGATATTTATTCTTTTTATCATGATCCATACATACATAATCTGGAGGTAGGCACATAGAGCTATTACAAGAGTAATTTCTTTGACTTGATGTATACAGGTTATTATTTCTGTTCTTTTAATTCTGTCATTCAATGAGTATATTTTATGTCGCTGAGAGTAGAACTTTTGGAAGACTTGACTGTTGAAGACTGTCTCATAGTAAGAGTGTGAAATTGGAAAATTGTAGATCCAGAAGAGGTAATGGTTCACATGTGCACCTAAGATAGATCAGTGCTTCTCTACAGTTTGAAATGTTATGGATGTGAAAACAAACTGGGCATTTTTAAGAGGTGACTTTCTGGTGAACATCAAGCTGAAAAGTGTGAAAAGTCTACATAAATATGTTAATGAGCAATTTCACGATTCCTTTCCAGCCCCGCGGATTTTGGGGGTCTGTTAAAAAGAAAGGCATGTCATAGCCCAGCAGCTTGTGTGCTCATTATCGAGAGAGAGAATGCAGCTGAAACAATGGGGAACTCGTTTGAGTTTGTTCACTAATTAAGAAATCTGTCAAGCTGAGTTTGTTGTATTTAGCGCATTTCTGCCCAAAGTCTTGTTTGCAAAGGTGTTACTCTGATGAATTTTGGTCATCACTTTTTAAGATTCATCACTTGGGATATTAATTTAGTCCTAGTAAATCTGTGCTGTTCAAAACAGTATCTGTAGACCACATGAAGCAATTTAAATTGAACTTAAAAATTGAGTTTCAGTTTTCATTTTCTCACTCGTGTGTTTCAAAATGCTGAACAACCACAGAAGAGCTAGTGACTGCTGAGCTGGGCAGTGCAGGTGGAGAATATTTCCACCACTGCAGAACGTTCTGTTAGGCAATACCTCTTAAATTATCTTAGGAATGCTTTGGTGTGAGAGTATAAAAATAAAAACAAGACCAATACAGGGACAGTTTGGGATAGAAGTAGTAGTTGTGACATAACTAGCATCCTATATTCCCTGCCGTCGAAAACCTTGTGTGATTTCCATGGTTAAATCTCTCAGGAGTATGTCTAGACCTGAGGGGTCAGGGGTCAGCTGTCTGTCAGTAAAGAGCCAGAGAGTAACTGTTTTATGCTTTGTGAGTCATATGATCTCTCTTGCTGATCAGCTTTGCCACTATAGGGTAAAAGCAGATAGAGTTCATTTGTAAATAAATGATCTCACTGTGTTCCAATAGAACCTTATCAAAACAAAACCAAAAAACAGAAAAACAGCAAGAACAAAGCAGGTGTCAGAACAGATTTGGCCATAGACTCCCTGGTCTAGACTTTTATCCATAGTCATGCTTTTCAAGTACAAGTATTGTTTTATTCACAGTATTATGTACCATAAATGCTCGAGTATAAGCTGACCCGAATATCAGCTGAGGCACCTAATTTTACTACAAAAACTGCAGTAAAAATGTGCTGAAAAAACTCGGTTTCTACCCGAGTATATATGGTATTTAGATATCTAGGTTTTGGATTCTGTCCAGGTTTTTAATCATTAAAAATAGAGAAGGATTTCGTACAGCATCAGCTCTGTAATCATAAGTACAATCGGACAGGATCTTTTATCAGGGTTACGTCTGTTGGCTACCTCTTAGGTTTAGGTGTGTTTTATTGGTACAGTTCTGCTGAGGGGCTTCTAAAAGAGTTTGTGGGAAAATTCCATTATTTTTTAATTTTGTTTTTTTCTGTGTACTTTTTGAAGCCCCGTCATATTTTTTATTTTTCTCATATGCTCTTGTAGTTGCTGCTTGCCTGTAACTCTTACTGATATGAAATAAGTTTTTGAAAGAATTTTAGCACGCTATTGAAAATTTTCTAAATATGGCATTTCAGTATAGCGAAAGCATTTGCCCCTTTGGTGTTTAATACGTGTTTATAATTGAGAATTTTCAAGCTCAGTTTTAATGGATTTTATTGTGAAACAAACATCAATTTCAAAAAATGTGTATTTTCACAGTTCAATTGCTCCTAACAAATTTTTATTAATATACTGGTAATTTCTAAATAATTTATGCAAATTCTGAATCAGAACCTGAGACTAGATTCTTTTTTCTAAAAAGAGAAAAGACAAATTTTCTGATTTATCATTTTTGTAGTTGATAAGTAGAATTTAAAATGTTTGATAGGAGTATTTATACAAGGTTAATGTAATTTAAAGTTCTTTCTTAATGTGAGTAATCATACAGAAATTCAGGAACTGATCAGAAGTGAGATTCGTTTCCACATCTGGTTAGCGTGGTAAGATTGACACCCTGTGGGTGATAGAGCATTATAAATACTCCTTCGGGAACCATGACTGGTGCACACCAGTGTTGTGTGACAGGCTGAGTGCATAGGAAAGGGCACGTGAAAGTTCTTAGGAAAATTACATTATCTTTTAATTCCATTTTTTCTGGAACTTTTTGAAGCCCAGATATATTATGGAAGAAAAATTCAGCACTAATATATATGATAGAGGAATTGAATAACTCAGTGATTATAAAATAAAACTATAGACCAGTTTGAAAATTTTCTTTAGTTTTGAGCATTAGCTCTAAGATTTATATTCATTTCTCTCTTCTTAACATAAAAAATGTGTATACAAATAAGTGATAATATTCTGAGATTCATTCAATGTATTGAGAAATCTGTGAAGTTGATTTATTTTTCCAAGGATAAGACTGTCAAACTAATGATTAGGTGTAGATTAAAAAATAATGTCTGTGTTTGGAAACGACACTTGACATCTAAGCCTCTTTCTGGGTGGTGGCACCTCTGCCCTCCATGACGGCTTTGAGCCACCGTGCTCGCTGTGCTAGGTGCTCTAGCTGTCCGTTTAATGGAACATTCCTATGTGAACTCGTGTGTATGTGGATTGTACGCATACACGCTATTGTGAAACTGTGCATTGAAAAGTAGTTTGGGAATTCATAAAGCACAATCATAAAAGAAAATAGTGTGTATTACTAAACTTGAGTTTAAATGTAACATTGAGCTTATAAAGAGGCCCTTTCTATTTTTTACAGCAAAGACTTTGACACTTGAAAAATAAAAGCAATACTTGATTTATTTTTTTAAGTATTTGGGATATTATTTTAATGATTGATGATAAAATAGTTGTAAAATGTTTTAAGTAAATAAATTTTCTGCTCCTGTGGTCTAATGGTTTGTATGTGTGTGTTTTTTTAAGTGGATACAAATGTACGTTATTTGCTGCTTTAAATAAAAGACTTAAATATTGGATTAGTAAAGAAAAAGTACATTGCATTAATTGTATACCTCAATTTTGTTTTTCTTTGGAAAACTTTTTGTCAATCGTACTATGTGTCAGAGAATGTTTTCTCATGTTCTCTAATTTTACCAAATATCCTGCATCAGCATAGCTCCCAGAGCATTTTTCTCTGATAGAGATACTCATTCCCACCCACTGAACCTCCACACCCCACCCTACCTCCGACAGCCTCCAGCCTTCCTTCTCTTTACATTTAGTAATCCCAGCCATCGAGTCGATTTCACCTCCTAAGCTGACTGCCATCCAGTGATGCTAAGTCATTGTGACCCTATGTAGGGTTCCCAAGGCCAAGTCTTTAGAGAGCAGATAGCCTCTCCTTTCTCTCTCAAAGTGGATTTGAACCACCAACGTTGTAGTTAGTAGTCCAACACCTGCCTTACTGTGCTACTACTGCTCCTTCATTTCGTAATAGAAACCCAAAGCAAGGATTTTACTTTGAGGACTAAAGTGTTACCCTAAAGACGCAGGCCATGGTATTTTCAGTTGTTTCATAAGCAAGTGAAAGATGGACATTAAAGAAGAATGAATGCATTTGAATTATGGTTCTGGTGAAAAATATTGAAAATACCAGGGACTTCCAAAAAAACAAATCTGACTTGGAAAAAGTATAGCCAAAATGCTCTTTAGAGGCAAGGATTGCGAGACTTCATCTTAGGTACTTAGGGCATGTCAAGAGAGAGCAGTCCTTGCAGTGGGGCATTGGCTTGTTAGAGAGGTAGTGAGAAACGGAAAGGCCCTGATAAGATCTATTCACACAGCATCTGCAACAATGGGCACAGCATTAGGAGCTCTTTAAAGCAGGAGGTCAATTGTTCCAAAAACTTTAATGGTGTATTTATTGGTTTATAAACACTTTACATCCATCATTTCCTTTGATTCTTAGAGGACATAAATGGTCTATGTAAGGATCCATTAGGAAGAGAAAGAGGTGGGGAGCTGGGATTTGGATTTAGGGGCTCTTAGTCCCGTTCCTGAGATCCTTCTCCAGCGCTACTTGGTTCTGTTCCCGCCCTTCTGAGCAGGCTCTGCTGTCTTCAGAACACCCTCCATGTTGCTTGCAGCCTCCCCGGGTTGCCCCCGACTCTCTCACCCCCATCGTCCTCCAGCGCCATCACCCTCGAGGAACCGCGCAGAGACGGTAGCTGACAGGGCTGAGAGTGATGCCCATTCTGAACTTCGTACTCAGCTTCTCATTGGCCGGGGCCTTGAAGGTAAACTTTTGTAAAAAGGAAGTGAAGAAAATAAACAGCTCAGATCTGGCCAACTGTTCTCCAAGGCAAGCCCGCTTTCCTGAAAGGCAAAAACAGAAGACTGAACTACCTTCCTGGTGGAGAAGGTACCCGGCAGGGGTTAAAATCCTCTCCCCCACCCTGCCAACCTGATCACAGGGGGACCTGTGTCCCCGAGACTTCATTTACAGTGGCTCATTTAGTTGAACAACCTCCAGGGTAAGTTGAGGCAGAGAAAGTGGTTCCAGGTCCTAAACTCAAAAATGCCTTCATGGGTCAGCCAGGGCAGGTACAGGAGTGAAGGTGCGGGGTGTCTAACAATACAGGCTGGGTTGATCTCGAGTGGCTGTTTGACCTAAAGTCTTTCAAACGTTAACAAACAGCAATGACAAAAGTAGACAACCAAATACTTAACCTGTGTTAGCATCTTCAGTGTTTCCAAAGAACCTCTCCAGAGGTATAAACCAAGGACAGAGCTGGCGTTCTAAGTGCACAGCAGCTCTACTTGGTAGATAGTGTCCCGAAACCTATATCCTCCTCACAACCTCAGGATGTGACCTCTTGAAGTAGGGTTGTTACAGACATACTAGATGTAATTGAAGTCATACCGTCAGAAAGTGGGCCTTTAGCCTAATGTGACTGGTTTCCTCTGAAGACAGATACACGAGGGAAAATGCCACGTGACAACTGCATCGATGTGAAGAAACAGGCATCATGCCAACATCCCAACTCCCAGAGCCCACTTGGGAGGTGTAATATCCTCTATTTTACCTCTCTCAGTTCTCATACCCATTGCAATGGCTCCACAGAACTTCAAAGTCATGATTAAAGGGTTTATCAAGGAAGTAAGTTGAGTTGTAATGAGAAATGCTCTGGGTTGAGTTGTTCATCAGAACATTACAAAGATCTGTCAAGTCTGCTAATACGTGCCCAAAGGACAAAGCACTCTGCTAGAAGCCTCAAATGGAAGGCTCTGGGGGTCAGCAAACAGCTCCCTGAATTAAGTGTATCCCCCTCTGAAAGCCAGTCTCCTGCACCCTTCTTTACATGTTCTGTGAATGCGGAAGTACATCACTGTTCCATGCTCCGGTTTCTGGTTCTGCTGCTGCTGCTCTGATGCCGTTAGCTGTCGTGTGAATCCGGGAAGTCCACTGTGCAAGGAGTTTGGATCCAGAGGACATGCTCCACTCTTGGCTCTGGCTAGTCATGAGGTCCCTCCTCCTGATTCTCAGGGCTCATCCACAGCAGGATGGCACTCCAAGGAATCCTAATCACAATTAATCACAGGTGATTGCTGTCTATCTACCCCACCTTCTCATAGACCCATGCAGGAAAAGGTCCTTGGTAGGAGTTTTAGGAGAGATTTTGACTAGAGGAGCCATATTAAATAATTCGCTGCCCCTTCAGAATATATGTATCCCACATAAATCCTTGTTGCTTCCAAAACTTCCCCCTTAATTTCTGCATGCCTTTTATTATGACTGAAAACCCATACATAGCAACAACAAAAAAATTCAAAGTAGATAAATTAAGCATGTAAGGATCAAGTGGTTTCTTATACGAGTCTATACCATACTTCACAATCTTTTGTATGGAAGTAAATTTACATGTTCAGAACAAAACATCAAACTTGTTTCTCTTGAAGTATTTGAGAATAAGTTAACTAACATCTTTAGTGAAATCTTTAGTATGTACAGATTTCCTACAAAGAAGGCATTCTCCAACATGACCACAGCACACCATCAAAATTAGAAAACAACTCGTGATGCATTATCGCCATCTTATCCTTAGATACCATTAAATAATTTACCACTTGTAAAGTAAAATCCTTTACTTTAAAATGATCCAGTTCAGAATCATGTTGCATTTAGCTGCCATGTCTCTTTAATCTCCTTCAGTGCAGAATAGCTCTTCACTCTCTTAACTTTTATGACCCATAGAAAGTTGTAGAGATTTTCTGTCTCAGAAACACACTGGGATAGTTCTTCTCTGTCTATAGCAGCGGTTCTCAACCTATGGGTCGCAACCCTTTGGAGGTCTGACAACCCTTTCACAGGGGTCCCCCAATTCATAACTAGCAAAATGACTGATGAAGTAGCAACGAAAGTAATTTTATGGTGGGGGGGGGTCACCACAGTATGAGGCGCGGTAGTAAAGGGTCATGGCGTGAGGAAGGGGGAGAGCCGCTGCGCTACCGGGTGGCTTGGAGTTGAATTCCACCCAGCACTTGTGGGGTTTTTTTTGTTGTTGTTATTTTGTGAAACATCTCTCATGTTTCCTCCTGATTGAGCTTGACTTTTTGGCAGGAATATTACCAAAGTTATGAGAATGATTTTTATTGATCTCATTGATGATGCTAACTTTGCTCTCCCCTGTGGAAGTCTTCACTTTCACTCTGGAATGAAGACGTTCTTTGAGACAGTGTAAAAAAAATGATCTCTCATTGACTAGTCTTAGAATTAATTTGGGGTTTTGGGCCAAATTATTTATTACTCTGAGTGTTGCTGAATGGTGATTTTTTCCTTTTTTTTAATTTTAAAAATCTTATTGGGGGCTCTTGCAGCTATTATAATAATCCATACATCAATTGTATCAAGAATATTTGTACATATGTTGCCATCATTTTCTAAACATTTACTTTCTACTTGAACCCTTGGTATCAGCTCCTCTTTTTTTAAAAATAAATCATTTTATTGGGGGCTCTTACAGCTCTTATAACAACCCATATATCAATTGTATCAAACACATTTGTACATATGTTGCCATAAATGGGGATTTTCTAATTTCTTTATTTTCCCAAACTACTCGGCATCAAAAAACACACTTGATCTCCTCCCCATTTATTTATTAGATCAGCTTGGATTCATGGGTTCCTGTTTTTTAAAAAAAGTTAATCAATATTTATCTCAATACTCAAGATACTCCAGGCTTGTTCATTTTCTACCACAATCAAATGTTTGATGCTTGCCACGAATCACTTCGTCTTCTAGAAGTCCTGCTTTCCTTTTAGTAGATTCTGATTACCGAATACTAAGATCTGGGCTTCAGACGTGCTCTCTGATAAATCAGAGTTTTACTGTACCAGGTGGTCTCAATGGACATATATGGGGATATATGTGTATGCATGCAATGCGAGCAGGCATACAAAAAATATGTGTGCAAACACCCACATATACATCTATTGATCCATCACCATCTATGTAAACACGAGTCACATGAATGTAGCCTCTGATTTCAATCTAACATAACAAAGTTCATTCTTTCTTCTCCACTTTGATATTTGTGTCTCCCTCTGAATATTCTCCATACGTTTACATGTTGTGTCATTCTCCCCTGTCAATAACCAGTCTCCCATCAAGGCCATTAGCACCTTGTGCAGACCCCTCCGCATTTTCCTAGGGTGCTCACACCTGCCCTGCGCTGCTGCCGTCCGGTTTCCTTCCCTCCATTCCCGTTTGTGCTGGACCACCCTCTGCCAGCCACTGCCTTCACCTCTGTGCACCTGCGTGCGCCGTAGCCTGTCTTCTTTCTAAGTAATACATACAAAAACGAACAAATAAATTACAAAGAGGAAAATGAAATATATAAAAGATATTTGTAATTCCACGATCCAGACAAAGTCTTGATTAACAATTTCACATATTTCCTCTTAGTCTGTACTGCTAGGATTTTGCTGGTTACATTGCTGGCTCCATCAGTAACCAGCTCCATTCATTTGCAGGGTTATTTCCTTTATGTGGATAGTTATTATCCAGACAGCATTTTACTTCAAGATAGATATTGAAATGTCATTTTTAGCGAAGAATGTGAAGCCATTCTTCTTCATTATGTAATTCCTGGCATAGTAAGCTATATGATTTTCTAATTCAACATGGTTAATACCAGTCCATTTCCACTCACTAATGCCTCAAATACTGAACTTTATACATTCCGTTTCATTTTTGATTACTCCCAAAATTTACTAGATGCATACTTCATACATCTCAAGTTCCAATTAATAATAGATGTTTGTAACTGTTTCTTTCACGTTGTTGTGCCTCATCAGCAAAGGAAGGTCTGGAGGCTTTACTCCATCAGGATCATTACCGTGGATGCTGCTTTAAGAAATCAGGTTTCCCTCAGTCACCTTCTGAGTGCCTTGTGACCTGAGGGCCTGTCTTCACGCACCCACCGGCTCTGACAACGCGCTGCTGCTATCTGTGTGGTTTTCTGTGACAGTGCTCTTCTGTCACCCACAACGTTTTCAGTGGCTAATTCCTCTGAAGAGGACATCCGATTTCTTTTTCGTAGTCAGTTCTTAGTCTGGAGACACTGCTGAAACCTGTTCACCGTGAGTGACCCTCCTGGTATTGGGAAAGCCACTGGCCTAGCTTCCAGAACCACAGCAGCACACACAAGTCACTGCAGCATGATACGTTAGCAGACAAGTAGGGCCAAATGCGCCGTCAGAGAATTCTCACTCGGGGATTGGTCACGTTTTTGGCATCCTCCGGGCATTAAGAATGAGGCCTCTCCGAAGCAGGAAGAGATTCCCTGGAGCGATTGAGGAAGAAGAGTGGCCAATGGAGGAAATTTGAAATCCCTGTGTGATGAGGGGGAGGTAGTCCACGCCATGCCACAGCGAGATCAGAAGCCGAGGTCACGAGATGGAACAGGGCAGAGCAGCAGCAGCCGACTGGGAGCCGGTGAGGCAGAAGAGCGAGCAGGCGTCCTCCCGGTGGAAGCAGAGGCCAGGCGCTGGGACAGTGGCGGAGAGGCTGAGGACGAGAGCCTGGGCTGCTTGCTGGGAAAGAAGAGGCTCTGCTGGGGGCCAATGGCGGTTTCCTTCATGTGTTAGGATCTTGATTTGGGTAACTTGGATTTCCCCAACAAACCCAAATAATCAGGAGCCGTGTCTGTGAATTGTGGATGCCCATTGCAATGAGTGTTTGAAGCCCGCAGAAAAGGAGAGAGTCGTGGGTGGAGGCGGTTGGTACCAGCAGAGGTTAAACAAAGATTGAGGGTAGAGAGCGTCCGACCGCTGCCTGGGGACGATCAGCCTTGTCCTGGAGATGGGTTCTT